ACAGAGCTTTAGTTCAAATATGGGCACATTTCTGTCCTTTGGGAAACACAGCTAATGCGTATGAACAACATTATCTGGAACTGCAGTTGTGAATTCCTGCTACATACTGTTTGAGTCAGTGGGACTCAAGATGTTTGGATCCAGATTTTCTCTCATGGATGTTTTCTGGATAAGAAAGTTTTCTTGACGGTTCAAGGGAGAGACACTGCATGCTCCTAGCTCCACTCCCTTTTATGCTTTTATTCTTTTAAGCTTTTACAAATAAGTTTTTACTGCTTGCAGCTTTTATCATAGAAGAGTCAGCTGCTGCCAGGAGTAGCCTCGTCCACTTGTTTATCATTGTTTTATTGTAATTTTAACTGCCTACAGTATTTTGAAAAACTGATCACTCAGCATTTCTTTAAATGAGATTTGCTCACTGTCAACAAAATTATCCTTTTACTGAATGCTGAAGCTTTTACATTTTTTATATTTTTAAATATATTTTTATATCTTACCTTATATTTTAACCGAAACTTTGGATGGTTTGAAGGAAGAAGAGCATGCCATAAGACAATGAAGGGCTTCTACTGTCTAACTTTTTGAATGAAGATTTTGTCTCTTGGTTTCTGGTTGGAGCATTTCTTTGAGGTTTGTTTCACACCTGTGGCTTTAAACGCCCCTTGCAGAACTACAAGCCTCCTCACAATGGATTACAAAACTTTTACTTTTACTTTATGAAAACTTGGGCAAAGCATGCCAGAGAGGAGTGACTGGATAAGAAGCTGTTGAGATAAACACGGCAGACAGTTTGTCATCAGTGAGAGGAGCAAATTGCTCTGAACCTGCAATCAGCAAATCCTCACATTCTCACTGACCTACAACACAGTGTAATTGTGACGTTTATTTCCCATTCCCAGTGGGAATGGAAAATAAACATCATAGATCAAGCCAGGTCATCACCCAGCCAAAGCAGTGAAGCAACTGAAAATAGATAAGCTTCTAACAACCAACTGCTCAGTGAGCAATTTAATTGCTGGGCCCCCCATAACCCTAAACAACCAATTTGTGATACTGGGGGATGAAACGCTTCCAATCACTGAGGGGCTAAATGCTGAATCTTCCCTGCCCTCCCCTGTTAAGGCTGTTTCAGATGCTGCTATCGAACACCTGCCTACCCACTTAGCAGTAATAGTAACACTGCCTGCTCACAGCTCAAACTGCCACTGCAGTATTTAATAATGTACAAAGGGCGTGTCATAAAACGAATGCAGTTGAATCCGCTTTGAGGAAACTCACGGAATCACTGACCCAAGCACCAAGAAACCCTCAATCAAAGAGGAATATGCAAGGTAACCAGATGGGGAAAAACAACAGTATTGATCCGCAAAAAAATCCTCAACTCCAACCTGCTCAGCACTTAAGAGGTCTGCAAGGAACACAAACATCTTGGAGTCTACTCAGATCCTGCTGGAAATCGCACCAGTCTCTATCAATAGGAGGAGATGGGATTCACATGAGACAGTTTTAAGTCAACTGTTAATGAGAGAAGCACACAAAATAGACCTAACAACCATTAAATGGCTCCCTCACTCCAGGGGTCAAAAGAGGGTACAACTCTCTTTTGAACATGCAGTGATCCCACTCATGCTATTCAAAATGAAAACTTTTCTATCCAAGTTTCAGATTACACCCATTAGAGCTTTCTCAGATACATCTCATATACCCCTGCTTCAGAGAAACTCAATACAAAGAGAGCCTAGCACTAACAGCTGGGAAACCGAGTCAGAAGTCCTGAAAAGCAATCTTATGGCCCCAGCAGCTCTGTCAGCTCTGCAACCAAGGGATCAAGCACTTAAACCTAAGAAAAGGACCTTTTAGGAGACGGCCCTCACTCAGTCTGAAGCTTCACCCTCTGATAAGGAGGCCATAGCTACTCTTACTGAATTCAGTACCAGCTCGAAAGAGGCTCTGGACAGCTTCACCTGTCTCCCATGGGAGAAGCAGGTACTGACACTTGAAAAGATAGAGGCGGTAAGGCAGGAGCTTGTGACTCTCCATGAAACTCGCCGTCCCAACATTGCAATTCAGACTGAAGTACATCCAGAACCCCCTGCTGATGCTCTTTAACTTTTATATTAATATTGTAACAGCTTTAAACCATCCAGATCATTTCCCCCCCCTTCAATTGGGAATTATAAGATTGCAAGTCATATATATGCTGATGACATTGTATTACTATCTATGAACAATTTATACTATCTGATGCAACATGCATCTCTTGCAACTTCCTTGATTACCCCTTATTTCTATATGTCTTTTTAGTAACATGATATTCATTTACATTCTGCTGAAAAGTTATCTTGCTTAATTTCACTCACTAACAATTCAAGTCATGTCTTGCCAGCAGACAATGTGCTGCAGAAGATGTAATGATATACTGCATTTTGCTTTTCAAAGATCTTTAACAAATGTTTTGCTTTTATGAGACTTTCAACCTGTCAAGACCACTGGTTAAGGAGATCTTTTAACTTGTTTGTTCTTTGGCTTGAGGTAGGTTCTCAGTTACAACCCAAAAGCAACTCTAGTGGTATTATACAAGTCAGTTACATCTTCAGAAATTTTGTCCTCAGCCCTCCCATTTCCTCTGCAACCCAAACTGCATACATTACATCAAGGTGGATAGTGAGGTCCGCAAGATACTGTGGTAGCAACGGACATTTGACTACAAAGGTAAAAATCTGGTCAAATATTTCCCTTCTAAAGGTGGTAAAATAGTAACCCCAGCTTTAAAAGTCTTCAGGGAGGGTCATCTCTCAAGTGCTTTATGGAATTGAGATCTGGCCTATGAATCAGAACAACCTACACCATCTTGAAGTAGGACAGAACAGATTTCTGAGACATATCCTCATGGCACCCCAGGGGACTCCGGCAGCTTTCCTTAGAACAGAGATAGGCATGGTGTCCATTAAAACCAGGGCAACTCTAGCTATATGCTCCTACTATAAGAAGGTGATGGATATGTCTGATCACCGTCTACCTAAACGCTGTATGGTAGAGCAATGGAAGAGTGGCGGCTTGGCAACTTCAGTTCAAACCCTACTAAAATCTAAATCCCTCTCCACAGACATTTGTGTTTTTTCTGGGGTTAAAAGAATGTTGAGGGACTGGATCTACAAATTGGATAATGACCAGGACTTAGCCTTAATAGACTCTTCAAATTTCTCTCACTGGTACCATCTGCTGAAAACAAACCACCCAATGGTGCAATACTTACATACACTTACTTTTGCCTCGTTGAGAACCGCATTCACAGAACTCCGTTTTCAAACCATGCCAGCCGCTGTCTTAGACATGAATGTCCCTAAGTATCTAAGGTTATGTATTTGCAGAGCAGGTGAGCTAGAGGATGTTGTCCACTATTTACTCAACTGTCAGCTCTATCAAAACCCCAGAGAAAAGTTCCTGGGTAACATTTTGGCTGCCCTACAGAAGGAAAGTCCTCAGATAAAAGGTGGTCAGGTTACTTTTGGTCTTTGGCCCATATGTTACATACAGAACAGTGCTGTTTGCAAAAGTGTCCAGAAACATTCATGCTAATTTCCTGAGAGCCATTGCAATCAATTGTGTGGGAGACTCCCAGATATGAAGGGTCTCTTATTATTTTATATGTCTGTCATTTTTTTCATAACTTTACTTAATCATATTTGTATTTTAAACAATTGTGATGGCTTTTAGCCAATACAATAAACTTGAACTTGGTTGATAAGACTTATACTGCTAAGAATTTTAGTGTATCACAGCTGAATTTTGTCAATCACAGCTGAATCTTTCATGTCCTGTACTGTTCTTGCCTGTTTATTATAGTCTGTCTACGGTGTTACAGAAGACAGTCAGTCCCAAAGCCCTGTACATATGCCCTCCCAACCAGTCCGAAAAACAACAAAAGATGATGTCCGGAAACAAGTGAGTAATCTGCTCTGGAATGCTTCCTGTTTCTCTTGAGGAACAGGTTCATATTCCTTCATGTTCTGTTTTTAATTTCTGTGTGTGGGGGCATTCTTGAATAAATATAAAATTAGAAATGTCCTTTTCTCAACAACAACAAAGTATGTAGAGAACAGGACTGTTTCAAATTCGCCTTGCATTTACAGTCATGTGTGGGAGAAAAGGGTCTCATGCAGCAGCTCCAAGTCTAACCACACTGCAGCACCCTTGTATGTGTCATCTGTATTGCCCCCCCCCCCCGCATGAGCTGAAGCATGAAGAGTTGCAGCAAAAAGCCCATTGTCCCTGTGCAGGACCACCAGACTGAGTTAGACCCCTAGACAGGCCTCACCAAAAACAATCAGCTGCCTCCAACAGATTACCATCCCTCCCCCATCATCCTGCTGCCTGTGGCAGCTAACTCCCTCTGCTTCCTGGTAAGACTGACCCCGACTCAGGAGGATCATGTTTTCAATATGTGTGAGGAATCTACATTAAGTGGGTGTCCCATTTGTGACATTCATCCTCTCAACACATGGAGAAGGAGGATGTTGTCATAGTGAGCCAGTGTCAGAGGGGTTTACACTTCTCCATGCCTTCCCCACCACCACCCCAGTCATGCAGTTTTAATCACACTAGGTATTCAGATGCTTAATGAGTGTAAGTTTGATGCCCATCGAATTAATGAAGAGGGATATGTCTGGTTTAATAATTTCTTCTGTGCTGAAGTACTTTGTCAGCAGATATCAGGAAACAAATTTATTTCAGAGGCATTTGCATGTATGTGGGCAGCTGGAACCAGAAGCTCCTTGGGTGCATGGGGCCTGAAGGCAGCTTCATATGCTTCTGCCAGCAGCAGGTTGAATACAGGAGCCTGTTCTTACCACACATTGCAAATGCATTTTGAAGCACTCACAAAGATTTGGATGGAACTTGGGATCTTTAAGTATGTAAAAGTCTGAACCACAAAAATGAAATTGGTGATATTGCTGTAGTAACACCCAGTACATACTTGCTGTCTCTTTAAGAGCTGTTTTCATTTCTTTTCATCAGATATCATTTCTGAATGTGCAGATAGACAGACACTGTTTAAAAATGTCTAAAGTAGCAGAAAGGTAAGTACCCTGATTTGTATTGTTTTTGTGGTTGTTGCTGTAGTGCTTCTCTACTCTTGGTGCACTCTCTCTCAGATGATTCAGTATAATATTTGCAACATTTGGACTTGTGAACTGCATTCAGGAATGCATACTCCCTGATTTTCCAAGCTATTGTTTTGGACAGTCAGGAATGAGGTCTGTGTGCTCCTGCTCTCCCTCCTCCCAGTGGACGGCCTTGATACTTCATACTTCCTGGCTCATAAAGCTCATTTAATCTTGATTTGCAATCTTGACTTGGAGGGTTTGCTTGAATCTGAAATTGTTGGTTCAGACCTTACAACAAACTGAAGAACCAAGGAAATGTTCTGTTAAGCTAGTGCAGAAGGAGAGGAGGGAGCACACAGAACTGGGAGCGGCTATAAATTCCCAGTCCTCTGGACTGTGCTTTCAAAGTTTAGAACAGAGCTTGGACAAACCTAGTTTTTGGGGCTACAATGTCCTAAATCCCCCACCATGCCAGCTGAGAGTGTGTGAGTTGTTGTCTGCAAATGTTGCTATCCCAAAATGAGGCACAATGCATTCTTGTTGTCTGGGCAACTGTATTTGGTATGCTTTCCTGACCAACAGAGGGCCCTCATAAACAACATTTCATGTTTTCTGATGTTCCCTGCTTGAGATTTGAAAATAAGACTTCCTAAAATCTACTTTTTTAAAAAAAATGAACACATCATCCACAACAACAGTATATGAACTCAACCCCACCCCTCTGCACAAGCCTGTATAACATTACAATGAAAATGTTCCCTTTTCTGTGAAGAAAATTTGATAAGCAATAAAATCTTTATTCCACCCTTGTCAGTGTATCTGTGAAGATTCTCAGTCATCCAGGTGAGATTATCTGGAGGTTGAGTCATGGAAACTGTACTCCTTTCTTACTAGGTTGAATTATGTTCTTTCGTTACTCATCCAAGTAACTGAAGCTTCTTCAGTCCAAGTGACTGAAGAAGTTACTTGGATGAGTAACAAAAGAAGTCCAGTTGCCCTGACTCAACTTCCAGATACCCTTGCCAGTGCTGTATGGCTACAGCGGTTAAACTCACATAGAATAAGGCAGTTTCATTCAGATGTAACACTAAACAGTGGTTTACTCGGCCTAGGGATGGCATGCTTCCTCTTCCTATTCTATGCTGACATGGCTGCCACGAAGATATCAGACATATTATCAATTTCTAGACTGCCTAGAGTTCCTTGTTACATGTGAACAGAGCAGAACTTGGAGAGTAATTTGTTGGAGAGTCTTGGAGAGTAATTTGTTAAAAAGATTCTTCAGTATGGTTTGATCCCAGCCTGTTTAAAAACAGATTTAAAATACACCAGCTTTTCCTTAAATTCCCTGAAGAGAAAATCTGACTTGTCTAACACTTATTCCAGACCTGGGCAAAGTGTGGCCCGAGGGTCACATATGGCCCCCAAGCCACTCCTGTCCAGCCCACGGACAGTTTTGAACATCAAAACCTTTTATAGCTTTTTGTCCAAAGTTGATCAGTTACTTATCTTTAACATACCGCAAAAAACCTCTTTAGTATTTGTGAAGATTAACAAGTTTAAAATAAAAACAATCATAAAATCACTGTTTCATTTTATTTTTAAGTAAAGTTGGTTCGGCCCCTAAACACAGTTCAGATTTTTCATGTGGCCCCCCTATAGGAATTAATTGCCCACCCCTGACTTACGCTGACTATTACCTACACTATTTTCCATCTCTGATGTAAGAGGAGGCAAAAACTTCCTGATATCCTTTTGTATACCAGAGGAGGGAAGGGGAGGAGAGAGCATCTGAACCTAGTGCTTGAAGCTCCTAAACCAGTAGCTCCCAACCTTGGTCCTCAGAAGTTACTGGACTAAATCTCCCAGAAGCCTTCACCACTAGCCAGGATTTCTGGGAGTTGCAGTCCAGGAACACATGGGAACCCAAGGTTAGGAACCCTGGTTTAATGCCATCTTCCCCAGTCAGGTCTTGTGCACTATGGCTCCCAGCATTTCTAACTGTTGGCCATATTGACTAGGATTGGTGGAACAGCTGGAGTCCAAACCATCAGGGGGCACTAGTAAGGTAAAGCTGAAAAGACTCACTCTGTGAATTAGGATGAGATAGTGTAAACAGTTTTCAAGGTCATTTGACCTTGAAGTTCAGATAAAATTCTATGCTCAGCAAATCCAGATCTGTTGATTAGGAAGGAATTGTTTTTGAATAGTATCCCTTTCAGAGTGTAAGTTCAGTTTAAACAGCTTATTGTTTTAGTTGGGAATGTAGCCTTTTAACAAATCAAATTGCATGAAGATGTCTGGTGTAAGATCAGTGTAGCATTAATTCCCAAGACTATTTTTCCCTGTTGTAGTCTCCAATAAAACATGCTTTTGTTGGAAAATGCCAAAGCAAGCAAGCTGCAGTGTCAGCATATCAGAATACCGCTCAAGTTGGGGGGGGGGAGAGTTAGGAGTGATGAACTGGAACAACTGCTAGGAACTTGTATGAAAAATACTATTGTGTACATCTTTTCTCTTGGCTGGACTAAAGACAGCTAGTTCCCCCTTACACAAACACATACCAATTAGACTTACTACTGCCATAAAGACATTGTTCTCCATAGTCTGATCTGTCACCACTGATACATCTAGGGAGACTTAAGCTGATTATTTCTTCTCCTTGGGAAGTGGCAAATCTAGCTCCATGAAGGGAGCCCAATTGATAGTTTTCTCTGGGTAGTTAAATACAAGACATTGTTTTTATATGCCATCAACTGACTCCTGGTTTAATGATGACCCTGATGAACTGCTTGATAGCTCAGCGGTTTAGGCATCTGACTACAGAGTCAGAAGCTGAAAGTTCAGTTCTCTACTGTACCACCTTGAGAAGGGCTGGACTCGATCCAGTTCTGCAATTCAATGGTTATTATAAGGTTTTTGAGATACATGACATGTTCAATGAGTTGTTTTGCCAGTGCTGCCCCCTTTCTCCCATGCGTTTCCATGGCCAAGCAGAGATTTGAACCATGCCTTCCTGAGTCCTAGTCCAATAGTCTATCTGTTACACTACTCTGACTCTCGTATGACAAGTTAAAAACCACAAAAACAATAAAGCCCTTGATGAGTAGAATAATTTAATAAAATCAGCAACAGCAAAACATGGACAGGGCAAAGTTTAAACACCAGGTGCCATGAAATCAAATTAAAATAGGTTTTACACAGCTGCAAAAACAAAATAGTCTTCACTCAGTGCATAAAAATGCACCAAAACATCAGAACTGGGAAGGACATTCCCACCTCTACCACAAATGCCTGCTCTAGCAGACACCTGTCTGGCTAAATTTCAGGAGGGTAGCCTGAGAATTCTTAAGACCATCAGCAAACTGCAGCTTCCAGGACCATTTGGTGGGTCATGCCAGTTAAACGGATGCAAAACCAAAAAGAGTTTTTAATAGAGAGAGGCACTGGTGTCAGGGACTGCAGGCAGCAAGTACCGCAACGGTTCCACATTCACTGTTTGTGCAGCCTTATTCAGCTCTTTGATACACTGAAGATGCAAGCACTCCCTTCTGAGTAAGGATCGGGCATCCTAATACCGTAGAAGCCCCTGAGAAGTGCTATATATACCCCTTTGCTTTCACATATTCCAAATAGGGTAAAGATTGTGTTTGTAACCATGGGAAGAGTAGGGTAGCAGTGTGCAAAAGAAGACAAGGCTCCCAAGTCCTTTTGAAAAGGGTGTGGAAGAGAAGATTACAAGAGATGCCAGCATCATGTAGGCGACACCTGCTGAAATCCCTTTGTCCACATGACCATTAACAGAACGGGAGCCCTGCCCTTTTTTCCAGGTGGCCACCTTAGCAGAAAGTCACAACTGAATCATGGGGTTTATGGCCTCACTTATGAAAAATGGAAGAGACCCTAGATAAAGAGCCCTCCTGAGAGCGGGGGGGGGGGACGGGGGGGGGGGGGGGGGGTCCTGTGGGGGGGAGGTCCTTTTCCCTTTTCCAGCAAAGGTGGAGAGCACTAGAGCCAGTTTGTTTCCATTTTCTGTGGGCACAGTGGAAAAATTGGAGAGTTCCCCTCTTCAGTTAGAGAACTTTTCAGGGAGAGTAGACTTTTGAGTTTTCCAGACATGCATAGATCTGCCGTCGTACATCGGTGAGCGAAATGCCTGCCAACCAGCCCTAGAGCAGCCCTGAGAGAGTCACAAATCCTTTGCCTTTTCTTCCTCTTGCTTTGGCCTTTCCTCCACTGCAACACCAATAGTAGCTTTCCAGTTTGTTGGGTGGGATAAGCAGCTATTTGCTCGCATTAAAATATCTGATGAAGTGCCTCTGAATTGGCCATCATCATCACCCAATGTCACTGGGGCTTTGAGAACAATATCAAGAAAGTCCACACAGTATTATAAGCAGTTGCAGTTTCCAGAAATAAAATCAACAGAGCTACAAAAAAAGAGGCAATATTAGGAACAGCATATATAGTACACCAATATTTAACAGATACTTAGTTTTTTTGTTAAAACTTATATCTGTTATGTAACACCATACCAGTCAGTGTTTTTATAACTCTGATTGACTGTGCCTGATATTTTTAATGGTAGTAGACATCTCGGTGGTAGAATAAAGAAATTTCTGGATAGCTGACCATGCATGCCAGAGTTGCAGATAAAGAATTGGAAAAATTAACAAAATATCTGGACATAGAAATAACTTGCTTGTGGATGAAACCATAGTTATTAGGATCCCCATAGTCATCAGAGCACTTTATAAAATATTATAATCAGCTGCAGATCTCTGAAATAATACTATTAGATCTTCAAAAAAAGGCAATGTTAGTTAGGAACAGCATACATATTATACGAATATTTAACTTATACTTATGTTTTTGATTAAAATTTATCTGTTACATCACACCAGACTATATTTTGTATTTTATATTAATACTCATCATAATAGCAGTTACAGTGATATCTTGTAGAGGTTGCAGTCTGATTAGAAGAAAACTTGAGTGTCACAGACTACAACTCTCCCCCCCCCATTTTATTTTATTTTTGAAAATAAATCCTTTTCTCTTCCACTTGCTACTTATCTCTAAAATAAGGGTTTTTCCTCCTTCAACTCCTGATCTATAGTGGTCATGAAATGTAATTAATGAAATGAGATGAGACAGGGGAGGACTCAAAGACCCTGAGGCTTTACTGGTGGAATCTGCATTGACTATGTAACATTGTGATTCTAATGGTTTGAGATATAACAGCAATCTTCCTGTGACAACTTCAAGAGAAAACGTGTTCTTGCCACCAGCTGCAGTGTTTCTGATTTTCAAACATATAGAAGCCATGGGTTAGGCTGGGCAAGGCAAAACGTAGATGGCATAAATGGCCAGTGTTACAAACCTTAGTTCTTCCTCTTAGCTAAGGGTTATGTAGAATCTAAACAGCTGCAAATCAAGTGCAGAATGTTACTCTGTCGCAATGTATGCCCACATAGTAAGAATTAACTTTCATATATGTGAGTGCTACAAAACCCATTCAATGATTGTCAGCATTTACCTGCAGATGCAGAAATTTCAGGCATTTCCAAAACTGATTCAAAGATGTTACTGCTCCCAAAACTCAGATATTCACTGTAATGAATATTGAGAGCTGAAATATTACTGTCAAGTTCTTCTTCTGTACCTTCAGGTCAGAACTGGATTATATTGACTCTGACAGGGCTTTCAATGTAAGTGAGATATTTAAGGATTTGCCAGTCCAACTCCCCCAGTGAGTTTTCAGGGCTGAGTGAGGATTCGAACGCAGACCTCCTGAATCCTAGTCCACTGCTCTGTCCACCACACCACACAGCATGTCACTGTCCAATTAGCTACATTTATATTCTGCCTTTCCTTCAGTGATCACTAGGGAGCATCACAGCTCACTTCCTCCACAGTTAATCCTTATGCACATGAACAGACATTTTTGATATCATTTTTACCTCATGTGCTTAGTAATAGCTCAGGCCACGAAGAGGATGAAATACAGATGTATAGTGGATTTGTCATGTCTACACAATACAATATCACATCTGAAATTAGTCAAGTTTTAAAAATAATAATAAACACCACCGTTTTCAAGAACTTCTGCAGACACACACACACACAAAAGATGTACCTTGAAAAACAGTCTGGTGAAGAATTAATTTGCCATAAGAAGATTCAGTTGAAGACAGTGTAGTTATTCAAAGTGTAGAGAAAGCATGTACAGTTCTAAAGTCTTGTTCATGGAATCATTATCTGAAGGCAAACAGCAAGGTAACACAAAGCAAAAGTCAAGCAAGCATTTCTGTCTCCTCGATTTACATTGAACAGATTTAAATTAACCAACTATTTGCAAGAGAAGTCAAAGTCGTATATAAGAGCATAACTTTGGCTGGAAGGTGGCTTTAGGATGGTTTTAATGACTATTGCTGTCTGACAAGCCAACATTCTTATTTCTGAAGAAATTGAAGTGAGGTCCCTGTAAACCTTGGCTTGTAAGAGTATACTCATTAATTTTCTTTCCTTTTAGAGAAGTCTATATGGGATAAAGCATTTGCACTGATTGTGTAGAAACCAACAGAGATGGGGAAATGCAGGGGGTTTTTTAATTACACCTCCCAGAATCACATAGCCAAGATAGTGACTATGGGGTTCTGAAGTTTCTTTCTCATAGAGTAACTTTTCCAATCTATGTACAATAGCAATATGTAGAGAGATATCATACTTAAAGTATTTCTAAACATCTATTCTCAACTGTGGTGTGTCCCCCCCCCCTTTTCTCCTGCTACAGTTTAATTACTTACTCAGATCAGTACATTGATTATGATCCTTTTATAACTCCTGCTGAACCTTCCAATCCCTGGATGAGTGATGACACTGTGTTTTGGGACTTAGAAATAAGGTAAGCAATTAATACTTTTTAAACTAGACAAATGAACAAGCAAGAAAACAGACAACTCTCCTTTTGGGCTAGCATATTCCTATGGGTTAAAATTGAGCCAAGGTACATCAAAGGGAAAGATATGAGAGCAAAGTCTGTTTCAAAGGCCTTACCGATACCAAACACAATTACTGCCTTAGTGATACCAAATGACTCCTCCCCTCCTAGAATGTCTCTCTAAGAGGGTCGTCCACTGGCTCATTCTAGCAATTTTTGTTTGTATAGTATCGTTGATGTATGTACTACTTCAAAAAGCAAGTGAGGCTACTCTTATTAGTTTGGGTATTTTCCCACCAAGCCTGGGAAGCACTGCTGAGTCTGATGCCCTAGAGATGGGCACAAACTGGAAAAATGGTGGTTCTGGATGATTCGTGGTTCGTCACTACTCATGGACCTTGAACTATCACGAACCCTTCAAAAAAAAAAAACAACTGGCACTTCATTTCATTTAGGCAAAATGGGATCCCCTGGCCATTTTATGTTTTTTTTTCTGGTTCATGGTTTGGTTGATGCACAAAAGAGTTAAGCCCCAGTGCTACATTTTCCCACCTGCCAGTCACAACTCATTCCCATGAAACTGCCTTCCTATTTACAAACTGGGGCTCGTGTCCTTTTAACAGCTTACCAGCCTGCAACATATAGATCAATTCGATACAGAGTTTGCTTACCAGCAAGCCTCAGCTTAGTCCTATGCAGGTCGCTTTCAATGAGCATACCTTTCAATACCTTGAATTCGGTTCATTTTCCTCATCTTTTAATATGCACCACATTAATGGTGTTTGTTAGATTCTATCCATTGTTTTTATATAGGACAGGTGATCTCCCGAAAGCTAAGGACCATTTTTCAGATTTGTGAGATATCTATATCTTTAATACATGTGATACATATAGAATATGTTTTATATGTGCCCACTTGTGCATGTGGGCAGCATGTGCACACACATAAACCTGCCTAATTGATATATAGTGGTACCTCACTTAGCGACGTTAGTCCATTCCAGGAAAAACGTTGCTAAGCGATTTATCGCTAAGCGATTTTCAAAAGCCCATAGAAACGCATTAAAACGTGTTTAATGCATTCCTATGGGCTTAAAAACTGACCTTATGCAAAGATCCCCCATAGGGGCGGCCATTTTCGGTGCCTCTAAAGCGAGGCAAAACAGCGGGCGGCCATTTTGGAACCGCCGATCAGCTGTGCAAAAAGGGTCGCTTTGCCATGATCGCTTCCCCGCGATCATCACAAAGCGATTTTTGCCCCATAGGGGCCATCACTAAGCGATCGCTCTGGCGATGGCCAAAACCGCATCGCTAAGCGATTTCATCGCTCAACGGAGCGATCACTAAGTGAGGCACCACTGTATGTATATAAGTTTGGATCCAAAGATCCTGTCGACGTTCTGCCCATGCATACTCTGATTGAAGGGAAGAGGTTATTTATTTTATTTTATTTTATTTATATCCCGCCCATCTGGTCTTGTCACTTCACCTCCTGCAAGGAGTTACAGTCAAAAGGAGAACTGGGACGTTCCATTGTAGAGAGACTCTGTGGGAGCAAAGACTTTTCTGTTCTACCCTGAATCCAAGCCATAATATATAACAGTGTTGTAGCCATAAGCACCACCTAGCCTCCCTTTCCCCTGATGTTTTGACAGACTAACAAAGGCCCTGTTTATATGCATACAGATTTGTCTGCTCTCTGAAATCAATGGGACGTGAGGTTTTCTCCAGTTTATTAACTGCTCGATAGCTCTGTGGTTTTGGTCTCTGGCTGCAGAGCCAGAGGTTGGGGGTTTGATCTCCTGCTGTGCCTCCTGAACGGGAGCTGGACTTGATGATCCAAAGAGTCCCTTCCAGTTCTGCAGTCCTGAGATTATTATTATATTTAAATTGTCACTACAAGTCTTTGGTGACATTTTTGAACTGAAATGTCATAGACCAGTGTTTGAAAATTCAACAAGGAAACATAAGCTGATACTTCTGTTTTTCTCTGTAACCTTTTCACAGCAAAGAACCTTCTCAACATCGAGTGAAAAGGTGGGGCTTTTCTATAGATGAAATATTGAAAGATCCAGTGGGACGGGAACAGTTTCTTCGGTTTTTGGAATCCGAATTCAGTTCTGAAAACCTCAGGTAAGGTCTCTTCAAATAAGCTCGATTTCTAATGCTCGCAAAGTTACAGCACTCAGGAGGAGTTCACTGATGATAATGGAGGATGATTTTTTGTTCTGTCCTGTCAAGTTGCTTCTGCCCATAAGATGTTTTCCAGAATATATGAGGTATTCAAGGAGTGGTTTCTCACTGCCACCTTCACTGAATTGGCTGAGCAGGGACTTGAACTCAGATCTTATGACTCCTAGCCACTACACTTACATTGGCTCTCGGGAGGAGGTTGCAGTCAAGGTAATCGGCCTCCATAGGTGGTACAATGGTGTTGGATTTCACCTGGTCTAGTCCATAGAGTCAGAGATACTTCATTGTGGACAATGATGATTGCAATAATCATGTGAGGATCTGAGGATTCAAATTATTGTCCCACACTGGCATTCTGTGTTATATCATTATCTGACAGTAAGGCAGTAGGAAACTTCCCCATGATAAGTTTATCACCGCATTAATGATTAACAGGTAAGTCCTCTTGCATCCTTCATCTATTATCTTGTAAAGGTTTTATTCCTGAATATGTTTTCAGATTACCTGGCAAGATGGTTGAATTTAAAAAAAAATCCAAAGTACTTCAATCTGTCCAGTCTACAATTTAATTCTTTGTGAATTGTTTTCATAAAGAATCTCATGTGCTTTTGTCTTGTTAAAGAAGTTGCTGGGAGTGCGAGGACGGACTTTGTCCACATAAGCACATTTAAGTCTGACAGAAATGCTTAAGTGCACATCTCTTTGGCCTGGATGGTGGCCACAGGGAAATACAGCTGAAATAGTAATTTAACAGGCTGTTTATTCCCCTTACGCTCTCGATACAGTATTCCGCTCATGAACCCAGGTACCACAATCCTGAGACAGACCATTTCTCTATTGATTTTCTGTGCCGTACCTCCTTTATTGTTGTCTCCATAGGAGATTCACAGCCCAGCAGTTTGCAGTGGCTGACTGCAGGTTTTCCAGTGACTCCTTTGCAGAGACAATAGGGGAAGGATGCATACCTTGTGCCTTCTTTCCAGTAGATGGGACCTTGCATAGTTGTTGCTCTACCAACCATTTTGATTGGCTTGTTCAACTCCTTTAGTCTCTCTTCTTTTATCGTATTTCTTGTTTTTTCAGTGTTCTTGCCTGTAGCTGTTTGTATGAGATAGATAGGTATATCTTCACCTATCTTACCCATGCATGTAAAAGGACTGCAATATTCTTCTCCTCCCCTGCAGGAATGGCAAGCAATTCCCTGTCATTCTCAATACAGTTCCTACATTCGTGAGAACAAAGTTTGGGGTGAAATGGCTCATTGGTTGCACAGAATTATGCAGTTGATGCAATTGTATAAATAGTGGAGGTTGCCGGAACTGAGTGCAATCATTGCTTTTTTAAAAAGAATTTGAAGCACTGGTTTGGTTATTTGCCTCTTTCTTGTCATTCAGCCAGCCTGTATGTGCTTGCGTGTGGGCTTGGCTTCCCAAAGGGAAAAGGACAAATTTTGTACAAATTTTGGAAACAAGGGGGGGGGGGGAATAGCTCTTTATTTTGCTTTCACCTGAAGGCAAGGAATCACATGGGGATTTAAAATGAACTGTTACATGCAGGCCGAAACCCTGTTCTGTAATTTACATAGATTAAGGCTGATAAAGTAATCAGCTGCACACTTTTTGGGGAAGTAAAACATTTCCCATTTCTTCCCCAAAGGTCCTGAGGTTTCGGTAGAATCTCTTTCATCATTGGGAAGTCATTAGGGGGCCACATGGAGAAGGAATTAGGGGGCCACATGGAGAAGGAATTGTCAAAAATCACTGACTCTGGGATGATGAAAGGGATTCCAAAAGGGAAAAGTTGGAAAATTTATTGAAATTTATTGATATTTTAAGGCTTTTATCTTTCCATGTGGCAGGAGGACTAGAATATTGTTGAATTTCTTGATACAGCCAGTTTCATAGTCTAAAATATATTTATATGTATAAGCTGCAAATGGAACAATAAATATTTGATAGAGTTAAGAGTTATAGTTTCAAATGGAGTGATGCTCATCCATCCCCCGCATTCTAAAATTTTTAGTTTCAGTACTAAAATACACAGATAGAATCACATAATTCTGCTACCGGCTGTGTGAACACTGGTGTGATATAGTTAACTACCTGTAGTTAAGGGTAGCAGTTAGGTTTCCTCTGTCTCACTGATCATGGTGTGAGGCTTTATGATGAACATGTTCAAGTGTCCGTATTCCACACTGCATAAGCAGAGTGATTGCTTGTTGCTGAAAGGGAACCCTTGATTTACAACAATCTACTCTACAACTCAGGGACGTGGTGGTGCTGTGGGCTAAACCGCACAAGCCTGTGCTCCAGGGTCAGAAGACCAAGCACTCGTAAGATCGAATCCAGGTGATGGAGTGAGCGCCTGTCACTTGTCCCAGCTCCTGCCAACCTAGCGGTTCGAAAGCATGCAAATGCAAGTAGATAAATAGGGACCACTTCGGTGGGAAGTTAACAGCGTTCTGTGTCGACGTCACACTGGCCATGTGACCACGGAAGATCGTCTCTGGACAAACGCTGACTCTATGGCTTGGAAACGGGGATGAGCACCACCCCCTAGAGTCGAACACGACTGGACAAAAATTGTCATGGGGAACCTTTACCTTTACCTTACTCTACAACTCACTATTCATAAAATGATGCTAGTGTTACATAATGCCTCTGCCTAGCATCCAAAACCCACTTTTGCAACCACTGTGGCCTGTGCTGTAAACTGATGTATTTATATCACGAAGTGCAACAGCAAGATGAGAGAGAGAAGGCAACAGAGGTTGGCAAGAAACAGAGCAGAGGTGTGAGGGAGAAGTGAGAAGAAGGGGAGGTTGGAAAGGAGTGACTGGCATGCAGTTTGCAAGAGGAAGGGCGAGAGAGAAGATGGATAATATCAAAGAGGAGGATTCATTAAGCAAGCAAGAAAGAAAAGATGGGAGAGGGAACTGTGGAGACAGCAGAGGTTTCATTTACAAAGTGTGAAAATTTTCCAGGAACCAAAGCCCTATTCTAACCTTGAGGTTAATGAGAAAACAGAGTTTAACTGAACAACATCTTGTTTTGCAAGTGTTATTAGGGAACCAAGTAGGGTGTCAGTGTGGGAATCAACTCTAGTCAAGAATAGTAATTGTGTTGAAAGCAAGCATCCAGTTCCCAAGGGTGAATTCATTAAATGGCAACTCAGTAGAGGTGGGATGGGTCTCGCCAAATGTTGTACACCGCCTTGGGTCCTTTGTAAGGAGAAAGGCGGGATTAAAATTTTTAAAATATTTTTAAAATCTCAGCATCCTTCATTGGCCTTGCCAGCTGGGTGATGAGAATTATAGTGCCCTCCCCATTTGGAAGGCCACACATTCCATGTGCCGGACTCTACAGAGCGGTTACACTCCCATGAAAGATATAATTGTATGAGGAAAATAATACATGACTTGAAAGTAGCAGTCCAGAAAGAAAGGTGGATGAAAACAAAGGTAGAACAGCTGCACAGATGCAACATCTTCCCCCAGCACTTCAGAGGGGCGTTTTAAAGACAGGGAATAGCCTCTGTACCTTGGTACCTTACGTAAGACGGAGGGGCTGCATGATCAGTCGGCCTTTGATAGTACATTTAGATGATTCTATTATTATGGTATCAGGATAGGATCAGATTTTTACCCAGGTGTCACTCAGTGTGGTTCACGATGGCAACCCTCAAAGAAAATAGGCTTTGAGTTTACCACTAAATGACAGTTTCTGTGGTTTGTTTTTTGGATATGGCACATAACTCTAATGTGGCAGTACTTGAAGACACCTATCAGTACATTTGAAGCTTCAACAAAAGGCCAGTTTCAGAAGAGTTGTGTTAGACAAAATTAAATTATTTCCCCCATCATTTGGTGGAATCTGCTATCTTGGTAAATATTTATGGGAACAGCAAGGGCAAAATGGGACATGTGAATAGATAATAGATAAGGAATAGCTAGCAAATGTCCAGGCTGTGCTGAGGCTAGTGGAGGTACAGAACAAAGGAGTAATCGTGACAGGTCCATTGTGGCTGATGAGGGAAAGTCTTGTTAAAACACCGTTCATTGCCCAGTGGGGCCAGCTTAGCAGTGGAAGACAAATATTTCTTGACTATTTGTTTATCTATCTCCAGCTGCAATCCAGTCACAAACACCCACTTCCAATTTGTTTGGAAGTTCATAGTCTTTGTATTCACGAAGGCTTTCACGGCCGGGATCTAATGGTTGTTGTGGGTTTTTTGGGCTCTTTGGCCATGTTCTGAAGGTTGTTCTTCCTAACTTTTCACCA